TAGAAGCAGGATGGTAATTGAAAACAGGGGGCTGATTAAATACTTTACAGCCTACAAAGCAACAAGAGAAGGTAAATCACACATATATATACTCAAGATAAATAGTATTTAAAAACTGGCATAAAAATAATTCCTAAATTAGTTTCCAGGAGGTGTTTGGTCTGCTGCTAGGAATTTTGAACAAATTTGAAGTATATAACTATGTTCAAGCAGAGCACTACTATATGTTCCTATGTTGTTCCCCTTCCATTCCTCCCAGCTCTCTGAAACATCATGATTCAGGTAGCTGCAGCCTAGACTGGAGTGCGTGTCCTAGACAGAAGAATAGACAACACTCCCACAGAATTCAATTCAGTCAGAAATTAAAGGAAGAAAATATAATTACAGGCTAGCTACTATGTTCTAATGGAAACCAGCTCTTGTCAAACAAATATGATTATATTCTCTGATCTAATTATGATTTTAGAAACATAAAAGTTCAATAGACGCAAATCAGGATTTTGCTAAACAACTAATTTGCTACCACAATTTTCTGATTACATATTAGAGTTAAACAATGGTAGTAATGTGCACATTAAGTGTATTAAAAACTGGCAATCTGATTGACCTGAAAAAGTAGTTTTTACTGTTATAATATTAGTAAATATTAGTAAATATACATAAACTTCTGCTGATACTAAGAAAAAAGGAGTGGATGTAGAATTCAAACATTACAATGTTTGTATTTCTTCACCTATCACAAAAAATAAATAAATAAAAATCCATTTGGTTTTGCAAACAGCCTTGCCTACTTTTAAGAAAATTTTATCAAAACTAATTAACATCTACAAGCCAAAAAGACACTCCAACTCCTATGATAACTTTTTTTCATGAGAAACTTCTACTTTGTGTGAGAGAAACATTAATATTTAATGATGGTACAAACACAGGGCAAGAATAGTTAAACAGTAATTCATTAGGACAAAAAGAAAGAAATGAAAGGAAGAACCGAATTCCAAAGGGAAACTAAACACAGTTCTGCAGTAGTGAAAGAGATTTGTTAATAGAGCAAATTAGAAAGAGAAATAGGAAACTCCCCATCTCTACATCTTTAATTCAGGCCTAGTTGCACTTCTGGGAGGACACACTTTAGGCAAACAAAGAGTTAAATCTGTATTTAGGAGTAACAATTTGCAATTTAATGTCTTGTTAAATGGAGAAGATAGATAAAATGGTTCTGTTGTGAATCCATAAAATATCTCTTCTGAAAAACCGAACTACAGCGGAAAGAAACTAGAACAATGAAACCAAAACCAGATTTTAAACTGGTATTTGTATAACAAATGTAATTATACCAGAGACTCCTTTCAACACAGATGAGTTGTCTCAGGTGTTTGTAGAGGAGCTTGACAACTGAGAAGACTGTAGTCTTCAGTGAGATTTAGACCAGGTTGGTGACTCCTAGAATGTTTTTACTAGATACATCAATGATCATCCAGCTGTCATCCAACTCAATGAGATCACTTCTAGATGGTTTTACTGCAGATTTGAGTTAAAACGAAATTTAAAAAAAATGAAAATAATTTCCAGTCCTTAGAGAATTAAAACAGAATAGATAATGCATTTAGCAAATTTTTAGACACTTCTGTTCTAGGAATGGGGTGTAAAGATCAATTTATGGCGTATGCTGTTTTGTTCTTGTTGACTATAAAATTCATGATACATTAAAATGCACATTGTGAAAAGCAGTTTAAAGAATCAGTAAAGAAGATCCTAGAAAAATAGAAGTAATTATTTTCTTTATGAAACCAATTTGCAAATTACTATAAAAATATGAATATCTAGTGGTAAAATCTGACAGACTGCTTTATGCTTTTATAAAATGCTGTCATGATAATAAAGTTTCTAGCTACAGTAAAGCATTTTCACGAAACATTGGCTTTCAGCTTAAGACCAAGTTTTCAGAGGTTAAAATATCATCTTCAAGAGAGATTACAAAATTCTAACATTTCTCAGGAGAGAGGAAAAGAGAGCAAAGATCACATGATAAAACACATGCACATCAGGAAGAAGGATAATGAGAGAACTGAACTCTTACATCTCTGGAAGAAGGCTTAATGGAACCTAATAGCAGTCATCCAACACCTGCAGAGGTTTGCAAAACAACAGAACAAGTCTCTTTGTAACAGGTTCTACAGAGATTGGTATCACTGGAAAAAACAGGCTTTCAAACACACAGGCCTTTCTTCAGGTTTTATACAGATACAAAATACCTCAAATCCTGAAAAATAATGACTACTGGGAGTTCAATTTCATGGCATTTACACACTTAGACTTGAGAAATCAAATAACTACTAGAGATGACAAGAATGATACGAGAATAACTAGAAAGATCTATCCTAAATTATTTCACAATATATTCCGTTTCGACGTATAATCCTTCCTTTGATTGCATTATCTTCTCATTTTGCTACTATCATCATTCTTTCCACAATACACTGAAGGTTTGCCCTTTGTTTTGTTTCTTTAGAATATGTAAGACACACACATGCATTAAATGTGTACGTAACTAGTGCTATAAACTTGAAATCCTAACAATCTGAAAACATTTTCAGACATACAGATGAAAAATATATTTGTTTATTATTTCAGTCTAATTATTTGTAATTCACTTTAATTCAAATAGAGGTACTGGCGCATGTAAGATTTTCTTTTAGGAGTTGTTTACACTAGCAAGATTTATCCATACCCAAAGGAATGACCTACCTATGTCAGTTCTGTTGTAAATATTCCATTCTCAAAAACCTGAATACTGAGTTTTCCACATAAAAAAATTGGTGATGTGTTACAAATCAGATTTCACAGATGACATCCAAAAATTTAGCTTATTATGCTAAGTAGCATTTGTAACGAAAAATGTTCAGACACATGGAAGCAGTTGATTGGATACATTAAAAAATGAAGGCTTCCTTTTATTCTTAACTATCTAGGAAATAAAAAGATACATCCTGGTAAAAATGGAACTACACCCTTATGTTCACAATGTTGCATATAAAATCACTGTCACGTTCAAGGCAGTGTAATGACAGTTTATATTTTAGAGCACCGCTGTTAAAAATTCTACCTTTTCAATAGCCAATCAAATAAATGCTTTGAAATTTATTTATTTATTTATTTGCTATAAGCTTTATTTTGCATCAAATTTTAGAAATAGGGAACCTCAGATTAACTGACAAGCTAGTCGGAATCTGTTCTACTTTTGTTCCAAAGCAATATTCTACTATAAAAAGGGAAAATGCAAACAAATAAAAGCCAGAAAATAGAAACTAACAACATTAATAACAACAAGAAAATATCACCCAGAACTTCATTAAACTTGATTATAAAGATAAATGTCAGCTAAATTCCTTAAAGGACGATAGAAGTAAAATTGGGGGACGAAAAGCCCCCAAAGTTTCATGCAAGCACTTTTACTTATGTAATTCTCTTCTTTAATAATTCCTACGTTTCTCCATGAACCAATTTTTTAAGATAAATATAAAGAGAAAAGTGTTAATAGTAAAGCCTTTGTACTTCACCATAACAGCTTCCAAAGCTTCCAATTTACAGCTAGAGGATGGTAAAGCATGTCTTGCCAGCAGTGCTCATTGCATGGTATGTAATTTTACAGATCATGTAAAGGTAGTTGATCTGAAATTATTGGATCAAACAATACTTGAAAATGGTATTTTGCATAATTATCTCAGATCAGGTCTTTTGGAAACACAATAGTTTAGATAACCACAATATTTGGAACTTGGACAGCTGCATATAAAGGTTTTATTGTTGAGGTCAAACAAGTCTTAAGAAACCATAAACAAATTCTCATTTGTCAAGGTTTTGTAATTTGACAACATTCATAACTCGTTTCACAGACTGCAAAAGGCAAATGAAAGTGACCGAGCCACTTCATATCACCAGTATTAGAAATTTAACATGATCAAAAGAGTTATTTATGCTCAGCTGCCTTCTCAACTGCCTGAGCAGTCATTTTTGTGACACTTAAAAACAACTGTTAAGAATCATGAAACAATGGTTATAATTAGCATTACTCAAATCAGCTAAATAACGATATTAAAACTGTAGGTATAAAATTTCCTTCCATGGAGGATTTCCTCAAAACATTTAAAATTTAATAAAGCTCTGGAGCTGAGCATATGGAACCAAATTCAGCATCTTACGAGAGGAAGTGTCAGACAGACTTGCAGTGCTACTAATCCTGCCTGCAGTATATTCTGTTGAGTACTCATCACTGTTGAATAATCTTTACTATGTGTATTTCCAGAAAATGTGTGCTATTGATAAAAATAACTGGTTTAAAAGAAAAAGTCAAAAGCATGTGAACTCAGGAATGAAGAAGAGAATATGTAGACAGACAAATAACAAGTAAAATGGGTTTATAAGTGCTGCTACCATCCCATGAAGGATAAAGAAAAACAGTTTACATTTGTAAGACAGATTTCTATGGCAAAGTGAACTCCTAACTTCATAAGCAAATGCAGTCAACTGCTGCTTCACATTTCTGGAGAGCCACAGTTAAAAGGGCACAAGACAGAACGGGCAAACTCGAACTTATCTGGACCTGATTTAGACATGCTGAGTACTCTCTGCAGTAGAGATCAAGTCCAGCAATGGCAAGATATCACGAGGGCAAAGTCTAACTCTTGATACATGTCAAGAACACATACACATTTTTTTTCTTTTTTCTTTGATTTCCCCTTGAAACCACCTTGAAACAGAACTACTGTTCTTCCTTATTTAGGCATCTTTTCCTTCATACAAGGAACAAACGTATCATGAAGAAACCACCACATATTTAAAAAATATGCCAATTCACAAAATGATTCAGAGATTCAATTTCATTTCTAAATGAGGTTCACACTCTGCCTTTTAGGTATTATTTACCTATTTTTTAATAATAATTTCACATTTAAGTGAGGGCTGCATGTTCTTTTTTTTTTCTTACTTCCCATAGTACTTACGGGTCTTTCGAGCAGAATCTTCTACAAAAAGAGAAGAAATGTCTTCATCCACTCCTGCTTCATTCTTTGCAATGCAAGTATATGCTCCTGTATCTTCATAGCGCACGTTACTAATGTGTACCTCACTGCCATTTGCTGAAAGGAAGGAAAATTCAACGTACAGGCATACTAAAGTGCTTTCAGATCAAACACTCAAAAGGCCTTCTCCATTCATGCTAATTAAACTGTTTTCATTCATGATTTCATAACTTGGAGACGTGCCAAATCTAATCAAAAGGTGTCCAACTGGGTAGTGAACTGCATGCACTATTATTCATCTTATGGATACATGCAATATCTCACTTGATTCTGCAGTTTGGATGTAAACATCAACCTGATATTTTATATAGATTTAAGTGACTGTGGTCATATTTATAATCAACTATGTTTCATTAGGTTGCGTTTTGTCTATTACCACCCTATTACAAGCTTTACAAACAATTAGGCAGGTTTCTATGGAATATAATGGACTACATTTTCAAGATAAATAATACAGAATTGTTCCTAGCAACCAGAAGCCCCTATGATTGCTTTTTTGTCAATGAAGCATGACAGAAAAGAATTGGTACTTTGGAATTTTATACCTACATCAGCATAGGAATCTATATACTATATATATATACTATATATACTCTAGAATAATTTCAGGAGTATTTTCAGACTGATCTTGGACAAAGTAAACACAAATGAGTTTTGCACATGCAAAATAAGCATTAGCACACAAATGAGGAGTTGTGCACCAGCTTGAGTAGGAATAGCAACAGAATCCAAATTTCTCAAGCAAAGGTTTTCTTAAATATTGTCATGTAAATAATGATGAGAACAATGACTCACTGCACTGTAAGTGCAGCATGCTTGTTCAGCTGTAAGATTTCAAAAACAACTTTCTAGAAATTCTATAACATGGACTAGAAGGGACACTAGGTCATGGTAAAAACCTCCCTCTGGATCTATGGATAATATGCTATGTCTAATGCATAGACAGTTCAACTCTGGGACAGGAAAAGCTCAGAGAAACTATAAAACTTTATCTCATATGAGTACATTCAGGAACACTGAATTAAATTGTGCTTTGCTGGTTCGTTTGTTGGTTGGTTTACAGAAGAAACATTCTAATTAAGTAATCATAAATATGTAACATGGAGGCAAGGGAACAAAAACAATCTTGCACTCAAATCCCTGAAGGGGAAATCAACAGAATGCTGCCATGAAAGATGAGACCACCAGGAAGAGTCTAGCACATTCTACTCATCTTTCTGTTAAGGAAATTCTTCACACATATTCAGGACAGAGAGCTGTGAAAGCACAGAAGCCTCCATCATTTAAAGAGAAGGTAAGACTCTACCGAAGCAGTTGCCATCTATCCCACTCTATCACTGCAGCCGCATTTCTGTTCTGTTTTCTGTTTGTTTGTTTGTTTTTGCAGAAGAATGAGATGATATTTTGAAGATAATACGGATATCATAAGGTTTATTCTTCAATGGATGATCAAAGTTCACCAGAAGGACTACAGACAAATGCCACTCTGGATAGTTTCACTGAAATCTACAAGCCCCAAAGATGATAAAAACTGGCTTTTACCATTGTTTAGAAGTTAGATTTCCCTTCAGCTGTGTAGGTTTCAACGTTCTTTGGTTGCTTTTGATTTATTCTAGTTTGCTTTTTTTAATTGTTATTGAGTACCTTTGCATGACCTTTGAGGTCTGCTGAGACCCCTCATATAAGAGCAAATCCATTTCATATATTTCTCCTGCTGTCCTTTTAGCCATCAGTTCCCTACTTCTCACTGAGATTCTTACAGTCAAAAAAACTCCTGTTTTCAACTGAGCCGCAGTAAAAGTCCAGTATCAATTTAAATCTGGGCTCATGAAAAACAATTAGATTACCATCAATGCATAGTTACGAATAAAATATGCACAAAAACATTGCTTCCTAATTTAAATAGAAATTCTGAATACACGTTGAATGGTACAAATGTACTTGCTGTGACAAACTCCAATATTGTAACTAGAACTGGGTTTTGGGCTGTTTCTCGTACTCAGAAGCCACATATCTTTTAACTAAGAAAAGCTACTGGAATTTACTGGTGATTCTGTTACAGTGTAAACCTCTTATTTTGATTACAAGAAAGCAAAGTACATGCATGCCTTAGGAAGAAATTTCAAGATATTGCCTAAAATGTTTTAGCTTAGACTTCAACCCTTGTTTAAAACTAAGCAATAAGAATACCAAGTAGAGAAACGATGCCCTCATAAAGCTTTTGCAACCTGTAGAAAACAATAAATACGCCCATTTACCTTGAAGAGTTAGCTGTTTAGATAACTTCGGAGTGATATCAATTCCATTCTTCAGCCAGCCAAGTTGTGGGTTAGGAATACCGTCAGCGTGGCATCGAAGGCTAGCTGTCACTCCTGGCTCCCTTGCCTGACTCTCTGGGTACACTCGGATGACTGGTGGAACTGAAGTTAGAAAACAAATATAATTTAGGGAAAAAAATAAAGTATTATTTTCATTTTAAAAAATCATTACAAACAATTCTAAAGACTCCTGCAGCTATATACAATGACAGCGCAAAACACAGATGTGACATTAGTCACATATTCACTCACATTCAACACTGAACTCTGTCAAATGAATTCATTAAGTAGAAAATGTTCTGTGAGAAAAATTCCTTTGCACCGTGTCAGAGAAAAGCCTGAATTCAGTATTTGGGATTTGAGTAATAAGATTTTTTCCCTTAAATTTCTTTAGAAAATACGAATAATTTAGAGCTAGGAAGCAGCCACCTGTGTACAGAGAGGGTCATTGTCTTATTCCACAAACCTTTTATTTAACACTTTCAATCCTACATTTACACTCTCACTAAAACACCTAACAATAACCTATCCTTCTTGTAAAACACAGATAACCATGGTTATGATACCTATCATTACCTTTAGTTTATACCTAATTACAACATTCTGAATTCATGTGAAAATTCCAAGTCTCATCTAGTAGGTATTAACAGTGTAAACTGTTATGCTTTCAAAGAAACTTCTGGCTCACTTAATAAAATGTATGGCACTGCATTCAATATATGCTACACAACTGCAGGAACTTCTAGATCTGATCCTATTTTTCCTTTTTAATTTATTTAACAAAACGTTTCTAGAATGAAATTTGAATTTTACACACATACAAAAAAGTAAATATACTGTCATACAGAATACTTGGTATTGCATTCTTTTTTAGGCAGATCAGCAAAACAATAAATTATTAACCATGTATAGAACAGTATATGCTGCCATTTGGGGGATAAATTAAATTAATATTGTACATGCTTTATATGGTAGCTAGATAACTGTGAATTTTACCATAGAGCATCTCACATATCTGAATCCGAGGCTTAATCAGATCAGCTAATCTTACTTAAGTGCTGATACTAAAGCATTTGGTTTGAATGGTTTATTTTTTAACTCTAGAGAAGTAGAGCTCGGACTAGTTCTTCCCAGCTTGATTACCAGAAAAATGTAAGAACTTGTGACAGCACTTTTAGAAGAATTGGAACCTTGCTGCAATGCATGCTTACCAACAACAACAAAAAATCTGCTGCATAGTGCATCAGTACTGGCTTATGACCTGGAAGAGGACATACTCGTATTGGCAAATACTGATTAATCAAGATTTAGCAGTATTGCTGTGTTGAATTTTTATATGAGTAATTGGTGATATTCTCCTTAATTACACATAGAGAAAACTATTTTGAAGTTCTTTCTAAACAAACAAAACCAAACAAACAAAAGAGCACCTACTTCTAATGAACGTTACAGTAGTATGTTCATCATCCAAAGATTTGTTTAATGTAGCTTTAAAAATGTGGAATACTTGGCCGGTGTCAAAAAACACAGCTGGATAGAGGATGAAATATCAGTTGATAATGAAAGAAGATAACAAGATCAAAAATTAACTGTGTCTGTTTTGGCAAGAGATTAAATATTTTCAAATGCTATCCAACTGTTTACAAGAAATATCCCAGCATGCTGTCCTATTACAGCATAGAAATGCCTCAGATTTCTAGACTGCAAGAAATACACATATGTATGGCATCTCAATTAAGACATAAGAATCAGAAGGTTTCAGGGATATTTTAAACCTAATTATAGATGAGAGTCTTTTCAAACAATATATGTGGAAAATTACACATAACTCCAGAAGAGCAAGTACAAAAATATATTAATAAAATTAAAAAATTGAAAGTTGTGGCTGCTAATTGCTTAGACTACCAGCTACGAGCAGCATGTCTATAACAGTGATTTAAGATTTCCACTGAGTTTCTGGAAGGGAGTGTACACAGATGTCTCTATTTCTATGCTCATATCAAGCCTAAATTGGTCATCCGTGTTCCCCGTCTAAATGTTCCCTGTTACCACTCTCCCGTGGGATCTGTGTGATACACTGTCCTTCCCACTGTGTTCTTAATTTCAAAATCCTCTCAACTGTATGATTGCCTGGCTTTTTCAGTACCTTATCTCCCAGACTAATTCTGCCTCTCTTCAAAGGGTCCAATCTTAATCTCTGCCCTCTTCAGCATTTCTTGACAGGAGGTTCTTTAATGACCTATGTCCATGTTGCAGATTTCCAGCGCATCAAACCCAAGTGGTTTATTTCTCCATTTTACCCGAAGAAGAGCAAGAAGCTCCATTGCCTTAGAGAGGGTATTGCCATCACTGAAGACTTACAAGCAACATCACAGTTCAAACCACTGATTGCAAAGCACTGCATACCAAATATCTATTGTAAGATACTGTTTGTTTTGTGCCAGTGGAATATTACTATTGCATATGAAAACTTGTGGGAACTTTACCATCATGTTCCAACAAACTTCTACTTGAGTGGATGAGAAAAGAAGCCTTCTATCTGTCTAATTTTGGATTTTTTTTTTTCCCAGGGAATCAGGGAACAAGGAACAGGTGCGACCTGGTGGAGGGAGGTTTGGCAGGGGGGTTGGACTCAATGATCTCTGGAGGTCCCTTCCAACCCCTACAATTCTGTGATTCTGTGAAAAGAAATTATTAATTTAGCTTGGGCAAAAGGGTGATCGTCCCCCCTCGATTCCACTCTTGGAACACCCTGAAATTAAGCTTTTAGCATTTGAGATTGGTATTTGTTTGTGAAAAGAATCAGCCTGACATAAATCCAGCAGTTGGCTCCTCCTTGTTTTCTTCCTGAATCAGATTTTCTATGTTAAATACACCACTTCAATATAGGTTTAATAATTATGTGCTTTTGGAAAAAAAATGTCATTTTACAAGATCTCGCATACCACTGGGAATGCATAACACCTGGACACATAAACCTGAACTTCTAGGCTCACAAAACCTCTTGAAAGAAGCTAAGTCATATATTGCCCATGAAATGTATATTCCTGTCAGTGAAGCATGAGTTAAACAACCTTCTTAGTATCAGGTAAATCAGACTGCAGGGGACTGAAGTGTAGAACTAGCTTATGTTGTCAGATGGATTCATGATTAGCAGAATCATGAATAACACAAATTTGGATGAATCCTGAATTAAGTTCAACAAGACACATCACATTCTTGGCTCCAACTATGATGAATGTGTAACTATTCAGTTATTCTTTCAATTGTTATAAAAACTGCTGAAGACTATTTCAGCCAGGAATAATAGGAAAAAAAAATAGGAAAGAAACAGACTGTTCAAGTTGTCTGGAATCCAGAGAGAATGCATTTGTTTAAGAAAGTAACATAATGTACTTTGTTCATCATATTCTTCCATTGCTCAGTATGACAACTCTTCTCTTTGATTGAACTGATATTTTGCTTTGAAAAACAAAGATGATAAACTATTCCTCTGACACTATAAAACATTGACTTATATCTGGCTGAGGATCTAGACTCTTTCATTACCTTAAGGTACTAAAACTTTTCTTTCCAGTACGCCTCTGTCTTAGCACTACATTGAGGAAAAAATCTTGTCACCGTTCTGCAAATAACTTGCCTTGAGTAAGTTCAGGGAGTAGGATACCATCATTAGTAATACACTGAAAGATAAACATTACTGTAATACTATGTCTAAGTATGTTTCTAGAGTAGCTCTGAATCTCAAGACAGACAGACTTTTTGTTTGTAATGTCTAATGACCTTTTATTTCTTTCTCTTTTGCTATAAGCAAAATATTACAATTTATTAGTTAACTTCCGATTTTCCATTTAACTGATGTATACTCTTTATTTTGCCTTAAATAGCTGAATATTAACATATAAAGCAAACAATAGATTAATGTGTTAAAGGGCATTTTAGAAACAGGTGGCTCTCTACTTATTAAAATAACCTTCATTACAAGAAAATCTGAGTTATTTACAAGGGTTCACAACTTTGTTTGGAAAAAAAACTCTACCAGCATTCCCTAAAAACTTTTTGAAATATGCTGTGGAAAAAAAAAGAGTCTAACAGTCACAAAAGAAATTATACAAACATTTGTGAAATACAGATGACTCACCTCTGTATTTATGTTCTATTTGCAGAAGATTCTTTTTAGAGAAAAGAGAGATCTTAATGATAAATTGTGGAGTTGATAGCATAGATATTTTTGGGGAGCCATAATTAGATAGCTCCTCTTTGTCTTCAGTGATATTAAGACCAAAACATATCCATCTATCATTATCTAAAAACAGACTTCCAAATTCATGGGTTTTATGATATATGATGCCAACAACACTGAAGGAAAAGTACTTGATGGCATGAATTTCATTATCACAAATATACAGAAGAGGAAAAAAAAACCAAAATGACAGGCTCAGACTCTCATTATTGTAACCATTTGATAAAAGAAAGACTGCGGGGAAAAAAAACTGGCTTTTGGTGGAGCTGAAGACTCAGCAATTTCGTGAATGAATAAGACCAAATCATTTTAGTTTTTAGAAAGGGCATTTTGAAAACCTTTTCTGTTGAATGACTTTTTCAGTGTTCAATCAAACAAAACCTGGCTGCTTCTCTTAAATATGTCAGCAGTGTCAGTCACTTAGATCATATAAATGAATCCCTATATAAGTGATACACCTATATTTTGATAGTTGATGATTATAAGTGGTACACCTATAGAATTTATATTCTGCATAGGGAATTATTCAGAAGTGCATCATGAATTTAAAGCAGAGATTTCAATACTGCAGATGTGTTTTTGACATAGTAATGTCCATTATGAGTTGACTTCACTATTTTAATACTTAACGCATAGTAGGAAAAATAGTTTTTGTAGGTAGGTGCTATAATTCAAACTAATCTTATCAGCACCTCCTCTATCTCCCCTGAACACAAGAAAAAAATCACATAGAAGTCTTAATAAAACGATCAATAATACAGTAACAAAACTCACATTGTGAAAGTTTTAAGTATAATCTAAATGCTATTAATTAGTATTTTTAATGAAAAAATACTCTTGAACTATTATATCTTTGCTGATATTTTTTTACATATAATTTATAGAAAAAAGTTAGATATCTACTTATAATATTGCTTACCATGTTTACTTACTGTATTATTTTAAAAATATTATACAGAACTTTCACTCCAAAAAAATGTTTTCTACAGCACTGATTATCTGTATCTTTTTTAAATACTTCAGTGAAAGTTCATTATTCATACATGTACAAGGTTTGCGTTACTCAATGCAAATAATATAAATATTATTTCTTTAAAAATACAGATTTCACAGATTCACAGATTCTTTGATACTAATGGAATCAAAAAATTCAAATCTTATTACATTGTATATGTGAACACTCACATTCGATCTTTGAGATCAGAGCCTCATTAGTCATTGACTTTTGTCTAAGTCTCCTGTTAATACTTATATTATTAGTCATTATCACAGCTACAAGTACTGACCACCATGCCTGTTCTTAGGAAGATTACTTCTTAGAAATACAGATCTAAAGCATGAAACAGCTGTTCATTTGACCAAAGCTTTAAATCTTCATGGTTTTAACCCAATTTATCTATAATGTTAACAGCAGATGATACAGCTGAGCTATCGGGTTCCTCTCCTTTCTCCCTTACTCTTCTAGAAATCAGATTTTGGAACATCAAGTGTTATCTTTCTCCAAAAGAAAAATAGCATTTTATGACAGCTATTTTGTCACCAGAAATACCTACAGCTGTCCTCCTTCACGTGTCCCATACTATGGTCCTTAACGTCCTATTTTTACAGAAAAATTTCTTTGAGTTTCGCCTCACTGAGGACTGAGTTGAACCAAGAAGTAAAACATATAGAACACAAGTGTTACAAATTTTGTAGGATTACTAACATATTGGCATAGGTAAGGAAGGAGCTAACAGAAGCACAATTTTTTTAATAAATTAGGGTAGAGCAGATCACACAAAAGAGGAGAAAGTTGTCCAAGGACCTTCCAGTATGTCCAGTTCATTAAAAATCCTGTTATATTCGCAGGAATTTAAATGAGTAAACTGTAGTTCAGTCTTTCTATTAGTCAAGCCAGCATTTACTAATTTACTATCTCTCTTTTTAGATGACAGAAAATTCCTCCAGATAATATGAAAGGAGAAAAAAATGCTGATGCCATGTATTAGCTGAGTGAGAACAGTCTATTTACAAAGTGCTTAAAATAATTCATAAAGTTGAAAATTGGAAAAAAAAAAAAAAAAAAAAAAAAAAAAAGAGAAGATGGGTCGATAGATATTCCAAATTGATTTCCTGGAAAAATACAATTACAAAATTGACATTTAGGAAATAGCAAGCAAGCACTGAATATCCAAGTCATTCAAAGCGTGAAGGATGTTAACAAGTAGAAAGTGGGAAAAAACAAGAAGCTGTTAAGAGTGAACAATATAAAAATGCTAGTAAAATAATCTAAGCAACTGCATTTGGTGTGATTGTCAATAAAACACATATGAGGAAAGATTCCACTATTCTCTGACAAAAGATGTCAGGAGAAGTGAAGTATGATATGGGTTAATGCAACTGTCTAATAATACCAAAACCAAGAATGATAGTAGTGTCTACATTTAAGAAGGAGTAAAAGAGCAAAGTAAACATGCAGGAAAAAAATTGAGCTTCAACATGATTCTGGACAGGATTAAGAATGAACATGAAACGACAAATGCTTTTAGTTTAATGTGGGGAGAAAGGTTTAAGAGCCAGAAAGAAAAATAAGAAGGATAAAGCAATAGAAAAACAGAAGGTCATCCAAAACAAACGAAAAAAAAGATTTAAATTTCACTGGAGATGAAGTACAGCGGGACTAGTGATGCGACAATGGAGATGAACAATTGTTTAAAATAGTTTAGAAGAAAAAAGAAAAAAAGATGCAGGAAAAAAGAGCTAGGAGCACCATAAACAACTGTAGTTACATTTTGTCCAAGAAAGATCACCAGTTGTCTCCTTCCTTTGAGATACTCTAAGGATTTCTTCACATTAGCATGAGCAACCTCACTAAAGGTGGCCGTTTGAGCAGCAAGGTTGGATCAGATCCATAGGTTGCTTCCAACTTAAGCTAGTCTGTGAATTTGTGATACTGAGGCCAGGAAAACGGTCTTTAGAACTTGAACGGATCAACATTTTACATTCAGATGCCCCAAATTAAAAATCATGTTTAGATATCAAAATAGTAAAAGCAAAATATAAGTCAAATTTGTAATCAAATTTTAACTAGGGCATTTTTAAAATTATTTTCCTAGATGCAACAGTATACAAATATGGGGGCTAGAAGAAATGCCTTCCATTTATTACAACAGCTCACGATGCAAGAGGCAGATGTTGGCGGTATGGCAGTAGGGTTTGAACCTTCCCACCAACATTCTGTTACATGTTGTTTCCATACAACAGTTGGCAGCAGAGTGGCAGTCTGACAAAATGGAAATGTGTCCATGTATTTCCATCGGAACAAAAAAGGAGACATTACTTTCAGTGTGGCCTACATGTATTTTTCTCCTGTTAACATGCTCAGGTGCTCACTGTGAAGAGGAAGTCTACTGCATCAACTTACACTTTTTAACAAATTTTATTCTTACAGAAGTACTAAACGAACGTGATTTGCAAGGTAATTTATAGAACAATAAAAACAGGACTTTTTTTCTGCCTAAGGTGTATTAAAAAGACTTTGAAAATAGGCAAGAGCAGATCTGCTTAACAAAATATCAAAATTCTAATCTCTTATGACTTAGTAAATAGTGCATTTTCCTTACCATTCACTTGAAGAATATGAGTTTGATAGAGTTTATCATAGCCATCAGCATAACAGGTGTAATTTCCCATATGAGTTGTAGTAACCTTAGTAATGTACAAGGACCCATCATCTCCAAAATCCTACAAGGAAAGATTAAAAACAAGGTTATCGTAATTACATCTGTATTTCTACATTAATTATGCTCTTCATTTTTGCAACAAAGCTGTAATGCTAATATCAAATGCTCAGCCAGAATAACTGACAGTAACTGAAATCCTGATTATGTTTGGAAACGGCAGAGGCTTGTATTAGGTCAGTAAAAGAAAATACTACTTCAGTTTCAAATTCAGAAGTACTATGAGAATATATTTGTTTATTTAGCTACGATAGTTATTTGCAAAAGAGAAGCTATTTTTGGTTTGAATCTAACTAGATAAAAAAAACTAAACTTCCGCACAAATTAACAAGGTAAATTATATCCTTTGGAAGGAAGTGTAATTAAGCCAGTTTAAAAATAATGTTATCTTAAAAGACAACCCTAAAAGAACAGTCTAGTAAAATCTAGCATCTGTAATGTTGATGTTGTTAAGTATCATTTACTTAATACAAACGAGTTTCCACGTCAATTACTGTAAAAAAATATATGAAATAATTAGTACTCTCTGTTAATTTTTACTTAGGCTAATAACAATTTGTTTGACTAAAAATACCTTTACAAAAGTGAACTTCTTCATAGTATTCTTTGAAAAGTCTAAGCTACGACATGCTTGTAAAACAGTAATGAGCTATAAGAAAAACTCATCTATATTTTGCAAGTGCAAGCTTAAGCAGTAAAGGGTTGATTATCATAGCTCTTTTCTAGTTAAATGGATATCTATGTTATGATCTCCCTTCATTTTTCAAATACACCACTGATAAAACATCTCTCCGGATATTTTACTCAAATATATCAGTTTTCAACAGGATTTGCCCTATGACGTTGTGATTTCTTTACTCAAAGCAATTTGGCTTTAGAGAGGGATTTTGCTTTTGTTTTAGAACTACAAACTAGATGTGTCTGGCTTACTATTAGTATACTGAGTTCAGTATTTGTTTTGTTAATTAAAGCAAACAATTCAACACAGTGAAAACAAAATACTGTAATCAGTGTTCGGAAAGCAATGATGAAGCATAGACAGAGTTCTCTGAGATTAAACTGTGACACATGCTTAAGTGCTTAATAGAATAACTCACAAGCTAGAGTCACCCACAGAACCTGTATCCATACAGGCACACCAATGAACACCATTGAATCCGAGGTTTCAAACATTAACATAAATATTACAGGAAAAAAAAAGAGATGATTTTACCTTTAGAAAAAATATTTGATGACCTTAAAAAGAGGGCTAGAAGTTATGTTTTATGATAATTAAAAAAGCATAAATGTTCAAATATATGTGACATAATTCTTCTAAAATCAAATAAACTAATTATTTTTTTTTCATCCAGAAATTAAAAAGATAGAATTGAATAATTATTTTAACAATGATTCCACTACAGCTCTGCTCTGTTGAGGAGCTCAACATTTAAGAATCACAATGTGTGTCACGAATAACAAGTAAAAGAACATGGAAAGCAAGCATTCATTTGGCAACTAATCTTTACTTAGTCACCTTAGTGTGTAGTATAACACAAACCTAGAAGGAAAGGAGGAGGAAAATAAATACTATGAAGAAATTTGAGAATGACTGTGTAAGGACTAATCCAAGATATTTTAAGCTTTCCCTTCTGGCTCAAGAGAGAAAACAAAACCTGAATTTCTTATGAAAAAAAAATGCTGCATACTTTCACTGTCGTATACTGGAGATGTAATAAGGACAAACCAATCTGGTCAGAATCACTTCAATGAAGAGCCAGCCCAACAGAAAACAGTAAATCAAGTCAAAACTTAGAGAAAAAAAAACACAGTATAACATATTACATAATTGTAATATACAGTAATATAAACTGTAATATACAGAAAGCTGCAGTATCATTCTGTTAATAAGGAAACAAGGAAATCATGCCGTAATTCAGAACATCAAACTAAATATCTAACTCAGATTTTGAGGATATCTTTGTGCATGTCCCAAGTTTGCCTTACAAATACTCTTTATAACCTACCTAAAAGTGGACTTTGTGATACACAGACAGTGGCTATTAGTTGAATTCAACAGAATTTGTTTGTATTCAGCAAACCTTCGAAAAAGATTCATGTTTCTCTTATTTTAAATCAAAATAACTCTGTATTAAGTAACCTAAACAGCGGTGTATGGTTTTCGTTATTCTTATGAATACAGTAAGGACTGCTGTTTAATTACATCAAGAAACAGTAACATCTAGCATCAGATGATAGCATTCATCATCCTATGGAAAACCTGCAGCAGCTTTGCACTGTATTGGTTTTGCTATTTCGAAATCTGATGAGGTTAAATGTTCCCTCAGAACACAAAGACAAAACACAATAAAAAGTGCCATAAAACTCCCCATTCTCACGAAGTCACTTATATGAATCACCACATTATCTTATACATAACTGCCCAGATAAAATTTGTTTGTCATGTACTAAGTATATGAATGTTGCTTATACATCTGAAAGTAATGCCTCCCATTTTATTATATTGGAGCACAATGTCAGAGGCAGATGTTGGTGGCATGGCAGTAGGAGTTGAACCTTCCCACCAACATTTCTTTACATTTTGTTGTCATGTGGGGCAGAGGGGCAGCCTGAAAAAATGGTATTTGACATGGGAGCATGTCTAAAACAAAGGAACAGAATTGAATCCCTTCATGCAGGAAAAATGGCACCGGCTGATACTCATCAACACTTGTTCAACATTTATGGAGACCAAACAGTGGATATTACTGCACTTCAACAGTGACAACGGCAATGTGAAAGACAAATCATGTTTCTGATAGCCACATACAGCTGTCACGCTATGAAATTAAGAGCAACTCAACTAGCTTATCCATGTAATTCAGTGAATTATGACCAGGGAACTGTGTATTGAGTTAAATATTTGCTTCAGTGCATTGGAGGCAACGTTGTTGGTGGCAACGTTGGAATATGGCATCAGGTGGGTCCCATGAATGCTCAAAGAAACAGAAGGAACATAACAGGCAAGTTTGTCAGGACCTGCTGTGCCAATACAAGGCTGAAGGTGACATTTTCCTGGATCTCATCATTATTGGTGACAAGACATGGTGTCACCACTACTAGCTGGACTCAAAATTGCAGTCCATGGAGTAAGAACATGTGAATTCCCCATTGAAGAAAAGATGAAGTGACGTGCACTGTCTTTTGGGATAGGAAAGAGGTGATCCTCCAGGATCTCCTGGAACCTGGATAAAACATCCACATTGTTATGACACTGACTAAGCTGAAGGCTCAAACTTCCAGAACCAGGTCAGAGAAGAAGACAATCTTTCTTTTGCAACAAGACAATGTCAGGCTTTATTTCCAATATTGGCTGAACTTTCCTGCCACACCTACCACACAGTCCAGATTTAAAGCCTTCTGACTTCCACCTGTTTGGGCCAATTAAAGGTCGACTGCGTGGGCAACATTTTCTCAGAAACAATGCCATAATAGCAGCTGTGAAAAAGCGAGTCTGCTCTGCTAGTACATATTTTCTGAAGAAAGGCATGAAAGCTCTTGCTCATTGCTGGCAAAACTGCCAACATAGCTAACAGTGATAACTATGTTGCAAAAAAATGCTTTGCTGCTGAAGAATAGCATTATTGTGCTCAATATCTATTAAATATCCAATAGCATCAATGCCCTCTTTGTATCAATTGTAGTTTCCATGGAAATAAATAGGAGGCTGTCATGGTTTTATGATTTTTGGGTTATTGGTATTCTACATCATAACATCATGTAAAGCACTGGGAGTTGAAGAGTTAATGTCCTACCTCTGTGGACCACCAATTTTCTGAATACCTGGCTCTCAGTAGAGAACAACTACATACCCCAGAGGACTTCACAGAGAGAAGAATAAAGTTCCTGGCAAGTTACGGGACTCTCTCTCTCTCTCCAACTCTCTCTGCCTGGCAGGGTGTGTGCGTGTTCCCCAGCTGTTCCACCTTCAATTCTAAGTATGGCCTTCGGTTTCAGACTCTCTCTCATTTAATTTGATTTATTAGCCTCAGTTCCAATTATATTGCGTTATCTTGTATTCCGATATCATAGACAGTAAATTAAATTTCTTCCTCAGATCGTTGCTGCTTTTCTGTTTGTAGGCCCATATCCCATCTCCCTACCCATCCTTTTCCCCTTCCCCGGGGCGTGGGTCCTCCCTTGCCCCACTAGTCATAGAACCGGGCTGAACCAGCCCATAAACCATCGATGCCCCTCCCTCTCCTCCGCTCCCCTTTATGGTCCTGTGGGCCTGCTGTCCTTCAGTCATGGACTCATTACTTTTGGAGCAGTCCTCACATGTATGAAAACAGTACATATATGCTTAGAAAGATTTTGAATGGAGTTCCTATACAAAATACTTCTAACACTACAGACCTAAAACAAAGGGAGTGATGTATGTCCAATGGTGTACTTTGCTCACAAACAGAAATAAAAATACTGAAAGCTTGCATGCTAGCATAGCAGCTTCATTTAAAAGGAGGCTAGACCAGCTTGCCAAACACATCACTAAGAAAAAACTTCTGACATAGAGCCTTTAGGCAAACAGTGAATACAAATCAAGCTGAACTAAGCACTTAGTATGAGCTGGAGTATTTGGCAAAGGCTGTATTACACAAAAAGTTGAAACCTGCTGCAGTTTTTAAAGCAATCTTGGTTATTTTTAAAAATCATCACTCATCTTGCTCAAACCATTAACACAATGTTCCATGTTCATCAGACTAATCTTTTATCACAAGAAAGCTTCACTGGGTAAGGTGTCAGTGAAACAAAGGGCTACTCAGCATACACTGACTGAAACTAGTTATATTGGAACAAATACTTTTTTACCTCTCCACGGTGATCGACCATGATAATGACTTTTAGCACTAGTCTTTGTCCACCCGGGCATTGATATAAACAAGACGGATCATACAGTGCTCAGAGAGTCCGTAAAATGAAGTTTCAGAATACAAAATATGCAAACAGAGTACATGCAAGTCTTGT